GTCATATAATTCAAAGAGTGTCCAGTTTTAATTATCTTGGTTGCCTATTACTGAACAACTAGATCCAGATCAAGAGATAAAATGTAGAATCGAGATAGCCCGTACGACATTTTTAAAAATGAGGTCATTCTTCTGTAATGATAACTTGCAACTTCAACTTCGAAAGCGCATGGTTAAATGCTAATGTGGCAGTCCTTGACAGAGCAAATGCTGCTCGTGAGCTGCTTGATAACATCAAATGTAGAAAGATGGCCTATTTTGGACACGTAGTAAGAGGAGACCGATATAATATTCTTCAACTTATTATGATGGGTAAAATCGAAGAACGCAGAGGAATTGGTAGAAAGCAGGCCTCTTGGTTGAAGAATATTAGGGAGTGGACAGGAATAAGGAAAGCTGAGCAACTCTTTAGAATAGCTCGAGACAGAGACAGTTTCGCCATGTTAATCGCCAACGTCAAGGGGACTTGATAGGGCACGTTAAGAAGAAGAATAAATAAAAAAGTTCACGGCCACTCTGAACCATACTTTTATGACCCTCCATTTGTATAAAGTAGGAATAAAGATTGATGGAAAGAGATTGAATTATTTAAACTTTTTGGACTTCTTCACATACCACCTCCGTTTCGAAGTTTGACTATCATCAACGGAAACAGCAGGGAATAGTTAATTGTAGTTAAAACCAAACCACTCTCTTAAGGGGACAGTCTCTTGCGATTAAAAAAAAGAGACATCTTAAAATTAAAGCAGAAAAAAAAACTATAATATTTATTAACATAATTCCTTTTGGAGATGATTAAGTAAGTCTTGAAGTACATAAAAAAAAATTTAATAGCGATTTTAACTTCATTGGTGTCCTGTAGATGGCGTGTAGTAAAAAGTGCGTTTTTGGTGGTAAGACACTTTGTGGGTCACCTGTAACAGATATTCAAAAAATTCAAAATGGGTTGTATTCGAGAGATTCAAAACTAGATGATAAACCTTTAAAATATGCAAATTATATTATTTTGAAGAGTTTATACGAATTTTTTCAAAAAAGTCGAAAAATCGCTATATTTTTCGGTGGATTTACCCATATATAATAAAAGGGGGGTGGTTTTTAAATATTTTAAAGGTTTATCATCTAGTATTTTGTATGTACATTCGAAAAATTTTTGGTTTTTTAAAATCGGTTAAGAAGGTTCGGAGAAAAGTGTCTGACCAGTTTGAAAATGTTACTTTTGAGAAAAAAGCATTTAAAGTTTTTTTTACATAATTTTTGTGAATAAAAGGCTGATAACTTTATACTCACGTTTAATCGGCCATTCCTGGTGAATATTGAGGACCCTCTTCATCCAACAGTTGTTGTAAATGGCTTTGTAAAGCTGTAAATTTCAATACAACGTCGCGATGTTTTATATTTAATTCATTTGTTCATGTTCGACTGGAGTCTCAATTCACGCCGCGATGCTGCCAGTATAAGTGTAAAAACGGAACACACCTAGATCGCATGTCAATTTAACGAAAACGTACTAATTTATAAATGTAGATATGAAAATATTTTATAAATAAAAAAATGGTTATGTTTTATTGCCAAAACGGCTTGAAAAAAAAGTTGATTTCTAAAATAAAAAAATAAAATAATTATATTACACTCTTTTTAATTTGAAATTATAAACAATATTTGGAATAATAAATGTATTTAAGTATAAATTTTATAACTCAAATAATACCTAATGAACACAAACAAAATTGATGTTAATAAAACATTATTTATTATCTGCACAAAACCGGACTTTCAGGAAAAATCGGTAGACGGAGCAACACTGTCGGCGTGCCATATACGCTACTATAAACCGCTAAGGAGAAGTAATCCAGTGGAACAAATAAATTTACACTGGTTAATTACAACGCAGAGAATCTTAGTATTTGTAAAAAAATCCTATGTTCCGGATTTAAAATTCCAAATCCAAATGTGTATAGTAAACGCCAAACGTTATACAGATATACATACTATATAAAAATTAATCACTAATACATACCCAACGTATATACAACATATATACAAAAGCAAGAACAGCTGGAGCCTCGCGCTCGCCGCGCGGAGAGAAACCGGTTTTCATACGTGCGTAGATAACGTTAATAAAATAACTATAACTTATATTCTAGTGGGAATTTCTTTTTAAAATTTTAGGAGGGAGTTTTTGAATGTATATGGAAGCGATTTATATAAAAAAAATAAAATTGATTTTATGAAAGTTTCGCATGAGACTGTCCCCTTAATTTTGGCAGCCAAGACATCTTTCTAGAATAATCTTGTTCTTCTTCCTCATCCTCTTCTCTGAACTGCTTTTACCCAATAGGGTAAAAGAAGTTGAATTATTCATTAAATTAATTAGAATTTTTTTGTTGTGTTGTTGTCACTTCTCTTCTTATTTTTTACTTTCCGATACCTCCGGGTTTACCAACTCCATCATCGCACTTAGCGAAGTGCTCAAAGGATATTCTTAATTCAGAGACCATATTCCATTCTGCAGGAGGTGAAATAGAAACATCTTCAGTTTCAGCTTCTTCTATTGACGACGCCGACGATGGAAAACCACAATGTACGTACCAGTTTGTTATTGTAGTCATATTTACATTCCTCATCATCCTCTTTGGCTCGACAATCCTCTGTGGATCTTGGCCTGCTCTAAGATTCGTCGCCATTCTGTTCGGTTTTTGGCAACATGTTGGCATCTTCTGATTTTTAATATTCGTAAGTCGGTTTCTACTCCATCTAATTGGCTGTCGGCCTTTACTTCTTTTTCCTACAGGTGTTCCTGTGGTTAGCTTTTTAGCAATGGTATTTTCTGGCATTCGTATTATGTGTCCAGCCCATCTAAGCCGCTGTGTTTTAATGAACGTTATGACATCTGGCTCATCAAAGAGCTGATACAATTCAAAATTATATCTTCTGCGCCACTGTTCTTGGTCGTTTACAGCTCCAAATATTTTGCGGAGTATTTTACGCTCAAATATTCTCAAAAGTCTCCTCTTTTGGGAATTTTATGGAAAGTTTACATTTTACATTCCTCCAAGATTTAAAAAGCCATTCTCATGGCTTGCATTTATAGCTATACACCTATTCAATTTGCGTGCCGTTAGTTGAGATGTTTTTCGCCAGTACAAGGTTTAAGGAAAAATTTATTTTAAGTCCAACTGGTGTACACGAGCTCTGAAGGTCTCGAAGAAGCTGGCAGGCATGATCTACCCGGTCTGCAATAAGGACTATGCCGTATGCAAATCTCAAGTTGTTCAGAAACTCCATTTATCTTGACTCCAATATTCTCCCAATTATTGCTTCTCGTAGCACTCTACAACAAAGCGGTGAATAGCTTAGGAGAGATGATATCTTCTTGCCTAATACCCCTCTCAAAGGGAAATGTATTTATGTCGCCGTAATACATTCTGAAGAGCTGTGTACCTATGATCAATACTGCACTCTGTAAGAGCTCTTAACATGGAACTATGCTGAACTGAGTCAAACGCCTTTTGAAAGTCTACAAATATTAATATCAATGCTTTGTTGTATTCTGTAACTTTCTCTATTAAGGATTTTATTACTTGTAGGTCGTCATTCCTTCCAAAGCCACTCCTAAATCCGGCCTGCTCTAATGGTTGCTGAAAATCCAGCTTAGGTTCCAGCCTATTAGTAATTATTCTCATAAAGAGTTATATAAATGAGATAACAAGCTGATAGGTCTGAAGTTTCCAATTTCTGTTTCATCTCCTTTTTTGTGCAATATTATCATAATGGTACTATTCCATTTTTCTGGTGTAACTCCTTTAAAGAGGCAGGCATTATAAACGGTTTTTAAAGCTTTTATGACGCATTTGCCTCTTAATTTTAGCATTTCACTTACAATGCCATCTTCTCCAGGTGATTTGCTGTTCTTCATACCTTTCAACGCTGATTTGATTTTTCCTCTTCGGTTATATCTGGAAGTTCCTCTGATCCTTGATTTTGTAAGCCTGGGATTTCCACCTCTGGAATGTTAGCATCTCGACAATTTTTCAAATATCTTTTTTGAAAACGATTTCCGGAGTGGAAATCAAAACGTTAACCATTATTAACAATGTAATTTTCATTATCAACAATTGTGGCTTTTTTTTAAGCCCTTCTATCTATTCGGATTGCCGAATATAGACCTCTGCTTATTCTCATCATTCATCTCTGTTTGTAAGACGTTTCCACATTTGTGCTGCAGTTCTTTAAATATCGTCGCTCCAGCGCATTTGCGGTCTTCCTCGTGGTCTTTTGGCTTCATATAGCCGCCAATTCCTGATTTCTTTATTCCATCGGCCATCCTTAACACGTTCGTTATGTCCAGCCCATTTCCATTTCAGTTTAGCTGCCTGTCACATCTTTTACTTTTGTTCTATTGTGGCTTAACACCATATAAATATGATATTTAACTTGATATGTCATAAGTAAACAGTTTCAGAACCTTTTTATCGAATATTGAGTCTAACAATCTTGTTCAAATCTCAAATAGGTTTGCGGAAGCTAAAATTGCGCATAAAAAATATATATACTTGAATAAAATATACCTAAAATGGGATACCAATCCAACTACCCAGATATTTGTGTTCCCTTTCACCCTTTCAACCCTTTCCAGGATTTTAATATCTAATTTTAGTATTGAGTTTTCGATATTAATTTTTCCGACCTCCACCCAAATATAGTTACTGAAAGTTAATATGGTTATTAAAGCTCCCAATTTCTTCAGATTGCATGATTTTGCTGAAAATTAGTATACCACCTCATCCGACACTCCACAAAGTTATATTGTATTGATGTGCAATATTTGCTATGTGGGGGTAAAAACTACCCATGTATAAACAAACAATTTGGAAAATCCAGATTTACATATTTTAAAGATTCAATTCATGTAAAGATTCAATACCTGGATATTACGATCTTCTAAGAAAAACTTATTTCTCTGGACTAGTAAGGAACTAGTTCTTTACAAAGAATCTATATCAAATTTTAATGAAACGTAGGTGTCCATTCATTCCTTTTTTTGTTGCCAAATTGTGTACAAGATTATTAAATAATAACCTCGATCTTTCTTTTGCAGGCTACCTCGAAAAGTATGACAAATTTTCGTCGTGCTTCGTTAACTAAACATCGCAGTTTTCCGGCAAGTTTCGGCTGAAACGGATCGGTTTGAAGTTACTAAATTGAAGATCTAATTGTAACAATAAAGTTAAATATGGCAACCACGGCTCGTAGAAGAGACCCTGATGATGATATCGCTGCCATTGCAAAACAAATATCTGATCAGGCTGAAGCTATTTACCAAAATTGGAAGTCCAGGGGTTTGGGACCAGCTGACCTTTTGACCTGCCATGCTGCTGGAGATACCACAAAGTTGGGGTAAGTGTTCATTTTATTAGGATTTAATGAGACAATAAAAACGTCATATGAAAAAATAAATATTTGATGAATTTATCCTTCAATTATCGTTACCATGAGCTGCTGTAAAATAAAGAAAAGAAAAATTTTATATTATTACTAGCTGACCCGGCGAACTTCGTAATGGCTTAGAATTAACCCATTTAGGCCCATAGTTGTCCATCTATTCTGACTTCCATTTTGTTGTTTTGGTAGATGTTTTCGATAGTTTTTATATTTAGGGGAACTTCTTTATTATAAATGTCGAAATAAGGAATTCTGGTAAGAAATAAAATAGAAAAAGGAATCCGGGTAATAATATTATTGCTAGTTTTATTCTTCAGCATTTCCTTAATTTAAAAAATTGTGCTTGTAATGATCGGACACTTCTAGTTTATTCGTATCAAATGTTCATTACCACTCCGTATAAATATAGCGGAAAACACTTTTCTGGTAATAGTTTCTTTATCGTAATAAAAGCAAAAAGGCATTCGTTAAACCTACACCAATCCACTTTCCGTACGCTATGGGTTTCGTTAGTCACCAGAAATGCATTAAAAAGATATTTCCACAACGTCACTACTTAAAGGGCTGTAGAAAAGTATATAAACTCAATTAGGCTTTAGTTAAGGCCTGAAAAGGGTTCGTTGCTATTTCAAAAGGGTCAAAGGATCAGGGGGTGGTGGGTTTTCATTCTAGAAGCAGCGAATGTGGAGTTATTAAATAACTTTCTGAACCGCGATTTTTGTGGAAAATTCGATGTAGATATTTTATCCACTTAGACTAATTTTATCTGCATATACAAGATTGAAAGCTTCGAATAAATTGAAAGCTAGATTTTTCTTGAAGTATATACATATCTTACATAGTGTTTTTTTACATTTATGGCTTGTTAGTAAGCATTTAGAAACTTTGAAATTTTCTTTAGCATGCTCTTTTATAACTAGACTTTTCTTTTATTTTATAACGCTAATTACCATATACATTATATGAAATGTCTTCTTTATTATCGTGTATACACCTTCGGTTTCACTCCATGATTTGTCGAATATCTGTCTAGCCCAGTGGTTCTCAAACTTTTTTAGTCACGGCACCCTTGTAGGACTAAAAATATTTCGAGGCACACCAACCCTTGAAACGATTTGGGAAACGACAAAAAAAAATACAATTCTGAGGCTCATTTGATTTCAATATAAACTTTATTTCAGATCAATAAAATCATCATCATCATACATCATTCAATCTTCGCTTATCCACTGCTGGACATAGATCTCCCTCATAATTTTCCATCTATTTCGATCTTGTGCCTCTTGCGTCCAGCAAAGTTGGTACTTTCATCAAGCTGTAAACTGAAGAATTCACAAGTTTTTAACTTATTTATAAGCTCTCTATCTACAAAGTCTGAAATAGTGTGAATTCTCTTGTTTAAAGTGCTGTTTGACATCTGCACATTATCAATATTCTTGGTCATATCTGGACTTAACAAGCATTGTACGACATCCTTCACGCAAGGTTTAATCAGTTACTCGTCAATGGTATGGGATTTTCCAGCTTTTGCAATGTGCAAACCAAAGATAAATGATGCTTCAGTGGCGTTTTCGTTTTCATTTTTGCACACTCTTTCCATCATACATGACCCTGTCTGAAGAGATGAACCACGACGTTTGAAGGTTTTCTTCGGCTTTATCAGCCAAACCAGGATGATTTTTTTCCAAATGTCTTTTTAATTTAGATGGAACCAAGCACCCATTAGCAACAATTTTGTGACAATTAACGCATTGACCTTCTGGTGCCTGTTCGTTACCAACTTGAATAAAGCCATATAACGTGAGATAGCTAGGATCATATCTTCTTATTTTTTCCCGAATTTCTTTTGGTAAGGAATCTCCGTTCCATAAATTGAGGAAGAACAACTTGGATGAGCTGGACTCGTATGGATCTCGTGGATCTTCTCTATTTCTGCTAGATGTCACTGAATCAGTTGATTGAGATGTTTCAGTGACTTCACTACATTTCCTTTTCAAAGACCCAGATTATAACCAATTTTTCATTATTCTGGAATGAAAAAAATGTTCCAAATAAAATAGAGCAAAACATTGCCAAAAATGAAAGGTATTTTCCAACCGTAATAGTGCAAGACATATTTTATGGCAAAAATAGCAACAAAAGTACATAATATTATACATATTGATTCCAATGAATATAATTACTTACGTCGTCACTTTTCTTCTGCAGTTATATCTAAAACTTCTGATTTCGACATCAGAAGGAGTCAGAAGGTACCTATACAGTAGTAGTACACCTAAAGGATATAATTACAAGTAGAGGATACAGATACAATTCAGGATGCAAGTTATGTTGCGCTTTTAGAAGTTAGCAAAAAGCAGAAGAAAACGATGTTTAAGGTGACATGGACACTCAGTAGCATGGTATGTTTGTGGATAAAAATAAAGAAAATAAAAAAATGTTAAAGCTTTAAAAATTATTACGGTCAAACGAGGAGAATTATAATATGTTTTAGATTTTCCATAAACAATTCAAAAATTTTGTAGAGTTTGTTATTATACGTGATTTTAACCAAGATATTATAACTTACGTACGGCGTGATTTAGCACGTGTATAAATTTATCTTTATCTCCTAGCTTTGGCCAATATTCTACCAACAACTTCCACCAACTTCATCTACATGCACGGAAGACAAATATTTTTCGTTTACGTCTTGGAAATACATTTCCATACGAAGCCAGCACCCGCGGCTTTATACATATGCATTTGTTTCCATTCCCATTTCCATCTTTGCCCGCATACTGTTGTTTCAATTTATGCATCTGCCAACATTTATTTCCCTAAAGACGCTTAAACCTTCTTTCTAATGTTGACTCCTTAAAATTATTCATACAGTAACGAGAAACAAAGCTTTTAATAATTCAGGCACATCAAAAAGTTGTTATTGAATTAGTTGATAAAATATTGGTATTGATAAAAGTTTAAACGTGTTCAGAATTATCTAACTTGTTCATGGACCAATTAACTTAAGAAGTGTTTTGTTTTTCATTTATTAAATTAATTATAACATTATTAATATAGACACACATCATCTTTTCATTGATTTTGAGAGTGCCTATGATAGCATCCATCGAGAATTTCTGATCCATGCACTGAAAGAGTTTAATATTCCAACTCAACTCATTGATATAGTAAAAGAAACACTTAAAGTACAAAGCAAAATTTGAATTCAATGAGATAGAAAACAGATACAATCCATGTGAGAACGGGCCTAACGACAGGGAGATGCCCTATCTGTATTCTATTCAACATCACATTAGAGAAAATAATTAGAGAGTCAAAAGTCAACACCAGAGGAACAATAATAACAAAATGATGATGTTGATATCATAGCTAGAAGCGAAAGAGAGATGATAAAAGCATTTAATGCGATAGAAAGAGTGGCACAAAACAGTGGCCTAAACATTAACGAAATAAAACCAAATACATGAAGGCAGTAAATCGACAGACCAAAGAAACCTACAGAATCTGACATAGGAGACTATAACATGAAAGCTGAAAAATTTACATATCTAGTTACTAGTACCCAGATAACAATGTCAGTGAAGAAGTTAAGAAAAGAATACATATCGCTAATAAAACATATAATGGACTAATTAAACATTTAAGATCTAACAACATCATAAGAAAAACCAAATGCAAAATATACAAGACCCTGATAAAACCGGTCCTTGTTTATGGATCAGAGGCATGGACACTGTCAAAAAGCGATGAGAACCTATTAGGTATATTTGAACGAAAAATCCTTAGACACATATATAAGGGGGTGAAGGAAAATGACATGTGGCGCAGAAGATATAACTTTGAATTATACACAGCATACAATGAACCCGAGGTCATAACATCCATAAAGATCGGACGTCTGCGCTGGATGGGCCATGTTGAACGAATGTTGGAGACTGAAATACCAAAACATAATGAGGAAAAACACCAGTAGGGAGCAACTGGAAGCAACTGGGAGCAATTGCTCCCATACAGTCTTCGTAGACACACCGTCTCAAGACTAGCAACTTCAACGTGGAGTCATATGTCGCCATGTTACCTAATCCAACGGTAACTTTAACATCTTAAATCATTATAAGAAATTTTGTAAACTAAATGTAATCAATTATTTGTTAACGGGTTTTTACCCATATATTTAGTGGCTACATTCATGTACTCTTAGACACTGATGATGGAATATGGATTCCGAAAACGTTTTGTCTGTTTAACTTAGCCCGTTTGGGTTCTTAATATATACCTTTTACAAAGGATTTTTAATAAATTTTTCAATTATAATTAATTTCTTAAAGCTAGAAAATATATTTTTTTAAAGCAGCGCAATTGGTATTACTTTTATAAATTTCGCTGGGAATCTACGCAAATTCTTTGTTCTAAGTATTTAATTTTACCTAGAATGGGAAGTAAATTGAAATCGCGATGAGTGTCCTTGATCACAAACACACACTGGTTTACGTTATTCATGAGAAACAAGTTGTTGGCATTCCTTCATTTTTCGTTTTATACATACGTCTAATAATAGTCTGTGTGTATTTTTGAAGAATGATGTAGTTTTCTACAGATTCGAATAAAATATGCGGAAGACAAAAGCACCTATGCTTGACGATAATTTTGTGGTGCATTTGCGTCTCTGGACGTTTTATGTGCGGAAATATACGCACTTATATAACCGCTTAAATTTGGTATTTATAACACGGGGAGCACTAGGGTCATCAGACGGAAACTAAATTACACATATTAAAGCGGAGTCGACCCATTTAAGCCCATCAAAATTCCGTAAGATTGGTCCATGAGAACCTGTCTTTGGAAACTTAGTAAATTGCGGGTATTACACTTCCAGACCCCGTCCTTTACAATACATTGTTATATATTCTGAATGCTTCTCTGTCAGTTTGTGTCCTCACAAAATGATTCAA